CTCTCTCTCTCTCTCTCTCTCTCTCAAACTGACACATAATCTGTCAAAAAATTATTATATATTTTAAAAGTAATTCAAACCGTTTTTCACCAAACGTTATGTTATATGAAATCTATTTTTATCATTATTTTATTTTTTAGTCATTTTGTAAACCAATTCGTGATTGAAATCACAATTTAAATGTAATTAATTTTTTTTACTTTATTTGATAACTTTTATATATTTTGATTTTACTTTTGATGCACTCAAAGACCTTAATATAGCTTTCTTTAATTTAAATATTTATTAAATAACTATTTTTAATAGAAATGTCATTTATTAAAAACTATTATAACTAAAATTAATTATTTATTATATAAATTCTCATTTATAATAATTGTTTTGAATATTTAAATAAGAAGTTTTATTTGTGTTATACTCTCACTGTTGTCAAGCAGTATCTGTTCAGTCAAATACTGTCAAAGCAATAGATAATAATCATTGATCACTGATTAATGAAATCGTGTTAAATTAAATTTAATGTTCAAATGTTTAGACACAGGTATACAGTATATACATGTACTGTATGTACACGAAGATGAGGGGAAAAGGTATTGTGGGTTTGACTGCATTATCAATACTATATATTGAGTAAATTTAGTAGCATTGAGAATACCACTCTCTTTCCCTCCTAACCCTCGTGTGTATTATCTCTGGTAATCTAAGAGTTAAGTCAGAGATATATTACATAAACTTTTATTTCACTTTGAAATAAAGAAAATATAATATTAAAACTCGGATCACGTTTTACGACGAATACAAATGTAGACTATTTTAGTTTAAAAATATTAATTCAAAAAACAACTAATGAATTAATGAACATGTGCTGAGCATTGAATGCCGGCTCTGTTGCTAACAGAAAAAACTATCATGTCCATTCTTTATGGTTCGCTAGATAGGGCACAGTATATACCGGTGCTCTTATGGCATGAATGATAGCCGTGTTGTCTCCAAAATGCCTTCGAGGGCCAGTCGTCTCAAGGACTTTGGACTTTTGAAGTGAATCCCAGGCGTGTATATAAAGTGGACACTCGTTCTCAACCGATCCCACATCACATCCTTCTCTCACTCAATACCATAAGCTTTTTGTAGCTCTAAAAAGTCCCCAACTTTGCAAAAATGGTAATTATATTTCATTTATTGTTGTTATTTATAAAAATCTTTACAATTAGTTTTAAAAACTTATATCTCGTAGTTCTCAGCCGTGATCTTCGCCCTCTTCGCCGCCGCTTCGGCCCAATTCGTGTCTCAATACCCGAACCAATACTACTCATCGAACGGCTATGGCGTTAACCCCGTCGTACACCAGACACCCGTCCCTCACGTTAACCATAACTACGGTTTCGTGAACCAGAAGTACGTTCCCAACACTTATGGCACTTTTGGCGTCAACAATAACGGCTTCAGCGGCTATAACGGCTACACCAACGCTCAGACCTACGCCCAGACCTACCCCCAGACCTATGCCGCCCCAATCACTGCTCCCCTCTATGACCGAGACTACAACATTGAACAGGTGGGCGAGAAGTACGCCTACCAGTCGGGTCCGGCCTCTTTCAACTACCACTTTGTGAAGGGCGCCGACACCGTCCCGACCACCACCGGTGCCGTCTCGTACGGAGTGCCCCATCACGCAAGAGTGTCGGCCGCTGTGCCCACTGTTGGCGCCTACAACCCATACCACAATGTGTTCGCCACTAATGAGCACCAATACGTGCCCACCTTCTCGGCCAAACTCCGCACTTCACCCGTTGTCCCCAAGTTTGACACCTACTCCGCCAAAGACTTGGTTACCGCCCACTAAAGCCCGACCACTCCATACCTCCCGCGCACAACCATTTCATCCAATTTTTTATTTTAATTAAATGCACTTTTATTTTGTGCTTAATTTGTTTTGATAAGAAAACGATTATTGTTTTTATAAATTAATTGATGTTTTCATTATGAATGAAAATTTGAGATTCAATTTAATGCAAAATTAAATTTTTTGTTATTTTTAAATAATAATCATGTGTTTTATTTGAATTTAATTACAATTTTATATAATGTTTGTCTGGCTTAAGGCTTAAGCTTAATGAAATCTAGCAAATGTTTAAGTCCATTTGACATTATTATAGAAATGATAATTATAATTATTAATTACTTAAAACATAGCACATTATAATTTACAGATTACTAGCCTTCCAAAAATAGTACGTTTAGTTTATAATAAATATAAACTATCTTAGTTTTTAATTTCAATTGGACAGTAAACAACTTATAAAATTTATAATTACTGTTCAAGTTTCTATATCTAGTATTAATTTATTAAAAATAATATTTTGTAGAAAAGTTGTAAAATACAAATTAAAAGAATACAGAATTTATCGATAAAATATAATTTACTAAACAATAGACACTAACTTAGTTTGAAAAGTGTGTGAATTCTTATCATTTTTATATTTGACATTTTATAGTTAATTGTTTGCATGTTTTGATATTATTTGCACTTTATTCCATTATAAGTGTAAGATTTTATAATTATTGCCTAAATTTAAATTCATAATACTTTTGACAACAGATTTTATTTCAAATATTGATTCCTTTGTCAGCATTTATATTGTAATTAAATCTAAACTAAACACAAATGGCTTTCATTATGCTATTAATCTTGATTTTAATGCAAGTGTTTATTCAATTGAAAGCATCGGTAATTCAATAAAACTCATTGTTTTTCAAATGATTTAAATTGACAATTATTTTGATCACAGAATTCATTGTGTGATCCAATGATAAGAATTGATTCGGCATTTGTTGACTTTGATCCCGATTTGAAAGAAATGCCCATCACTTGGTTTTCGGGCACAACTGTTTACCAATTGACTCCCAATTCAGACCCGAATTTCGCGTTTCAATACAATACCGAAGCATTAAATAAGTGGTCAAATGCTAGTCTAAATCCTCCAATCAATAGTGCCTATTATTCACCAAATGCTTCAGAGCTTGTGATTGAAAATGTAAGTGAAGTCTATTATGTGTTACAAAGTAAATGCAAATATTAATTAATAATTAGAAATATTTCAAACAAAAGTAAATTAAACATAATGTTTGTTTTAGTCTGCGAAATGCGTGACATGGCGTCTATCACTTGAGAGCAAACAATTGTTAAATTCTAGTCATAACAGTTGCTCAAAAGGGATCATTCAAATGTCTTCATTTAACGATTCCCATCACATGAAACATGAATGGTATTTGCAATCCATTGCCAATCCTTACGTTGAGATCACTTCGTTTAATCGCTCAGACCCTACACTACAGGGCATTAAAAGCAAATATGTGTTTAAAGATATTTGGTACGAAAGTAATCCACGCATTGACTCCACTTTCATTAAGGAGTCGTTGAAGTATTTGAATCAAACCACTGCCGTCTTTGTAATTAAAAACGGCTATTTTTTGTTAGCCGACAATCGTGTCTGTCGTATGGATAACCAATCCTTTCTGTGGACCGATAAATGTCCGACAAATCCTCGAACAATATCTCAATGGATTGACTGCAAAAGTATTGTCACCCAAAAATCCAAGTCCGACACTAATTGGGTTACAATTGCAATACTAGTGGTTATCTGTATTGTCGTTGTGTTGGCACTGATTATTGGATTCCTCGCGTACCGAAAGTACGGCCACAAGACTTCGCCTGTAATTATTCCTCCGCAGTCTTACAGAAGGTATAAATCAAAGACACAATTGAACGACATTTCAGACAAAGATTCGGTGAAAGTGTCGCCGCTTAAGAGGATTGAGTCAAACACATCCATATCTATGTCAGACGACAGGCCCACAGAACTGACGATTAGACCCAAAGAAACGGCAAAAACATTATATATTAAACCCAAATATAAAAAGTGATTTTATTTCATAAAAGGTTTATGAATTGAATTGTTTTTTACATTTATTTTACATAAAACTAAAATATTTATTTCATTTTTGTATCTATTATTCTCTCATTTATTATAAAATAAAAATCTGTTTTTCATTTCAATTGATCAAATTGTTTGAATTTAATTTCATATCACTTTTCATTTAGCATATTGTTTGTCAAAAAACAATTTATTTGAATTAAAAGAACATTATTTAAAATATTGATTACATTTAAATTCAAATAATTTCTAAATGACTTAATTTAGAAATCGTTTAATATTACAAAATTCTTGTTGTATTTAATTCTAAATTAAACATAAATGACATTTAATTTTTAATTAATTATATGTTTAACATAAATGTTAATTGGATTGAATGCAGCGGTAATGGCATTAAATTTATTATTTTAAAAGTTATTTCAAATTTAGCTGTTTTTACAAATATCAGAACCTATTGTGTGATCCGAAGACAACAATTGATTCGGCATTTGTGGACATATTCTCTGATTTAGGACCAATTGTTATCACTTTGTTCTCCAACACAACTGTCCGTCAATTTAGGCAATAAATATCAATACAACGGATCCAAAGGATATAACTTTTTATTCAAATCAAAGTAAAAAGTTTTACATGTAGTTAAAAAATAATACAATACTGTAATACTGTATTAGAGGCCAAATAAATACAATGTTGTTTGCAATAAAGTAGATGTGTATGAGTTGTCAATTGTTGTCAATTAGATTTCACGCGATTATTGTTTACAAATTAATTGGTTTATACTTTTGAATGGTTTATAAATTACTAAATTATACGAAATGTGGTAAACATTGCAAACGAGGAAAACAACTACTTATTGACAGCACGTGTTTAGCAGTGATATTGTGGTCAAAACATTTGAAACATTAATTTTAAATTTAAATAATTATTAAATAATTATAAATCTAAAAGTGTTGACCAAAAAGAGCCAAAAGCATCAATGATTTGGTTATATTGTGCGCTAATTGTCTGTCACTTAATGTCAGCAATAGTTTGTATATCACTTTGGGATGTGATGGACGTGAAGCCGAGCGGCGACTGTCCCTATATATGCGGTTTGGACACCAAATTCAATGCCATTATCTCATGGGATGTTTGGCCGCAATCGCTGTTCATTAGCGGCGAATGCGCTTATATTATACACTATAATACCACTACATTATACCCGATGGACACACAACTGATCCATGGCTTTAAACATTTGCTTAATATTTCACATCTGATGACAGAAAATCATAATCAAAATAAGTATCAATTTGTAAGCCTTTATGTGAGTTATAAAGAAATATTTGCTAATCACATAAACAGTTAATATAATTGTATTGATTTTAATCTAGATATATATGGATCATATACTGACTGATGTGACACAAGTGGACACTGATTTTGATTTGAATTATTATATGTGGAAACATATCGGGATTAGACTTAAAGTTAAATGCTATACCAATACATGGTTTATGAGTTATTCAGTCAATTGTGCCTCAAATCTATTCACAGGTATTCATTCATTCATTAATAAGTTATTTTTACATCAAAATTAGTGTAAATTTTACAATCATTTATATATTTACGACACAAATATAGACCCGAAATATATATCACATCTGAGAAGACAAAGAAATCATTTAATGGGAAGTTATTATTATTATGAATACAACGATTTTGGCAGTCCTTTGAATCAAACAATTAAATTGTTTTACATTTTCGATAATTGGATGAATTATTTTGAGATTTATTTTGATAAATCAAGGGTTTGTATAATTGTTTTACTAATTTATACGATTTGTGTAATTATAGTCAGTATTTAGTTATCAGTATATAAGACCCACAACAGGGAGAGAGTGATAGAAGTGTATAAGTATTTGAAATGTCCGGAAAGTGCTATAAACGAGTGGTTTCTGTCAAATGAGATCAATATTCGTATATTGAGAGACAATATTCACAATTATTTTGATTACATATGGCTTTTAATTGCAATGATTTGTTTGATTTATAGTATTTTGATCGTCAAAAGACATATATTTGTCTTAAGAAATCTTAACACAACTTATTCTATATAACATTTTATAAAAAATTCAGTTGTATTTAATATAAAGTATATTTATTATGATTAAATTAATAACAATTTTTGCAACTAATTTAATTACTAATTATTTCCTATTGAAAATGAATTTAAATTTTAACTTTTTATTTTAAAATTTACAGTTAATATTCACAAAAATAGGTTATTTAACATAATTACCATGTGTTTAATTATAGTTATTGTTTTTTCTTGCCTAAAATTCTCAAATAATAAATATATTAAACCAAAATCAAATGATTTGAGATTTAGATCGCAAACAAATAACAAAAACAATTGAAATATGTTTCGCCAGATTTTCCTATCATTGATTGCACTATAAATTGCATTAATTTTGCGCAAAATATTGAAACTTTTATTTTTTCAATAATTAGATACTTATAATTACCACAAAACTAATGATGAGATAAAATAAATGCCAATGACTTGTAAATTATAACCAATATTATATATCTATTTAACAGATAATATACAGATTTTCGCAAAATAACATATAATGCGAAATATTCTGATTATTGGGATAATTGTGGGGACTTTTTGCAGCAATGCTTTCAGTTCGGATCAGTTAGAGATTGGCTTTTATGGCAAAAATGGCAAAACTCACGTTCGGCCCAATCCTGAGCCCACACAAGAGCCCGACGAAGAGTTGGAGCCCGAAGTAGAGCCTGAAGTTGAGTTCAAACCAGAGATTAAACCACTGCCCAAACCAGAGTGAAACCAGAAGTGAAACCAGAAGTCAAACCAGAAATCAAACCAGAAGTAGAACCAGAGTCTGAACCGGAGTGGGAACCGGAATCTGAACCAGAGTGGGAGCCAGAGTGGGAACCAGAGCCTGAAGTGGAGCCGGAATGGGACCCCGAGTGGGAACCTGAGCCTGAATTTGGCCGTTCGACAGTCACTACACACCGGCCGTATGGCGAACATCATACTCGTCCGCGTCCTGAGTCAGAGCGCACAACACGGCATCCATACGTCACCCGCAGTACTACTCGTCGTCGACCTCACAGACCAAAGCCCACACCAGAGGCAGAAGAGCACACATGGATTACTCCAACGCCTCCCAAACCCGCGCCCATCGCTGAGTCCACCACTACTCCCGAACCGGAGCCCGAAGATGACGAAGACTTTTGGGTTACGGTTCCCGCTATACCCACACAACAGAGACCAAAACCTGAGACACATCCTGTGTCTGAGCACCACACTCGGCCCACAACTACTACCACAACCACTCGACGACCGCGACCAGAGGTGACCAGACCTGAACACCATTGGACACCCTCTACAACAACTACTCGACGGCCTAAGCCTGAGACCACTACCCGAAGGCCGAGACCCGAGATTACACCCGAAGCTGAGCGCCCGACTACTACGCGAAGACCGAGGCCTGAGATAACGCCTGAAACTCAGAGGCCGACCACTACTCGGAAGCCAAGACCAGTGACAACACCTGAATCTCATCGCCCGACCACTAGTCGTAGGCCAAGACCTGAGATTACGCCAGAGGCTGAACGGCCGACAACAACGCGAAGACCGAGACCTGAGATAACTCCAGAAGCCGAGCGCCCGACCACTACCAGTAAGCCGAGGCCAGAGACAACGCCTGAAGCCGAAAGACCGACGACTACCCGAAGACCCAGACCTGAAACTACACCGGAAGCAGAGCGACCGACAACTACTACCACTACTACTCGACGCCCGCGACCGGAGACCCCGCGGCCTGAAGAGGAGCATCACTGGCCACCGGAGCCAATCACCACTCCAAGACCAGAAGCAGAGCCTTCAACCACTACTCGTCGGCCCAGACCTGAGATCACTCCAGAAGTTGAGACAACAACTCGCAGACCACGACCGGAGACAACAACACCAGAACCGGAGACAACCACTACTCGTAGACCACATTCCGAACCAACGACTCAACACAAACCCAAACCACCGGAATTGCCGGAGATTGATATCCCGATCCACGAGCCGCCAGACCATCATTTCCCGTACCCACCGATTGGACCCGATAGTCCGCCACCCGGTTTGAAATATTCATATTGTTTCTAATTATTTAAACTTTATTATCCACTAATACAGAGTGCCAACACATCCGGTGTCGCACCGGATACCGATGCGATTGCATAAACCCGTGTCCGGCCACCTGTAAAATGCCAGACCGTAAGCCGTGTTCGGTATACATATGCAAACCGGCCTGTGTTTGCGCCCCCGGATATGTACAAACTGCTACTACTAATGGCACCTGCGTTCCCGTTCAAAGTTGCCCCAAACCCGAACTCCCGCCACAACCCAACCGACCGCCGCGTATGTATTATCTCACGTATGTCTCGGTATAGTATAACTAACATTGGTTTCAACCAATTTAGAAATAGTTTGTCCCAAAGTCTGTACGAATAGTAAGCAATGTGTTTGTGAGAACCCGTGTCCGGCCACTTGTGCCGAACCAGAGCCCACGGCCTGTCCCACCACTCAATGTAATCCCGGCTGTCATACGGTCTGCAAAAGGGGTCAAGTTTTGGACAGAAAGGGCGGAGAGTGTATGCCATTGGAGTACTGTCCGAGTAAGTGGTCATTAATGTACAAAATATAATTGATTACAATTGTGTGTTTGCTTTTGTGGTCAGACCGTCAGTGCATTCAACCTCCGTGTCAGGACCGGGAGAACGAGGTCTATCACGAGTGCTCCACACGATTCTGTAACCGGACGTGCGCTCAGCCCAAGACCTACTGCACGGAACAGTGCGTAAAGCCGGGCAATTGGGACTGTAGGGCGGGTACAGTACGCGACCCCCGCACTGGCAAATGCGTGCCATTCGTGCAGTGCTCGCAACCCATTGTGTGCGACCGAAGGGATGAGCTGTTCTACGAGTGCGACACTCGTCTGTGTCAGCGCACGTGTCAACGACCGAACCCCGTGTGCGGCACTCAGTGTCGCCAACCGGGCAATTGTGACTGCAGGCCAGGACTCGTCCGCGACCTCCGCACGTGTCGGTGCGTCGACCCGAATGAGCGCTCGTGTGTCGCGCAGAGAGTGGCCGACGATTACACCCCCTTTTCGCCGGCCCTTCAATTCAATCGTTTCTGATTTGTTCAATGAATGCAACATTTATTCATTGTTTGTCTATTTAATTATATATTTAATATTTTTATTCTTATTTATAGAAATGTTACTTTTATTATATTTTTTATGCCTTTTATTAAAAATTTGAGTTAAAAACTTTGAAACTTTTTATAACTAATTTATTAGAAAATCTTTGAATAACGCCATCTGTAGGCAAAAGTTAACATAAATAGAAACTTTTGAACTCAATTTCAGTGATGAGTCGACAGCAAAAAGTGTTGGAGTTATGAAACCGTTGCGCCACCTATTGGTGAATCACATCGAAAATAATTTTTATTATAAAAAGTTTTAAAAGTTATGCCAATAGAGGGCGCTATGAGTTCTATAACTCCAACACTTTTTGCTGTCGACTCATCACTGAAATTGAGTTCAAAAGTTTCTATGAATTTTGTTAACCTTTGCCGACAGATGGCGTTATTCGAAGACTTTCTAATAAATTAGTTATAAAAAGTTTTTAATTCAAATTTTTATTTTAACTTTTATTAATATTTTATATATAAAAATGTGTGAATAAATAAGAATGGTCAATAGTAATTGTAAAAACTAAATAAAACTAATTTTAAAAATTGTTCTGATTTTTAAATTTACTGTTTATTTAAATAAATTTTATTTAATAAATTAATAAATAAAATGCACTAAAAAAGTCATTCGTTGTTAAATTTCCAGAAAAACAGAATGACCAAGATCACAAACGTGACCGCACCCATCACCGCCCCTATTAACGACTCGGTGTCAAAGCCGGTATTCGTGGCACCAGTCGTATCGTTAGCATCACTACTAGTGTCCGATACGGGCGGTGTCGGTGTCTTCTTACCCGTCCTCTTATCGCGTTTGAATTGATTGTCATTCAAAGGGTTATAAATACTATTATTCGTAATCTTGTCCTCAAACTCGACCACAGATATTGTTTTATGTCTTCGTTTAGTGCTATTATTGGCCGAAGACTTGTTGCGGACATCGAGTCTAAAGTCGTTCAAATCAATGGTTAACTTTTCGATCACATTATCCAAAACTATGGCGCCTTCGGGTATTAACAGCTGATTAAAGCGTTCATTAGTTTCATTGCCTAACGATATGGTGGCGATCGGCCACTGTTTGGCTCCGCGGGCGCCACCCGTCACCCGTATGTCCGCCTCCAGCGCTGTATCGTTGGATTTTGTGCACAAATCAAAGTCAAACACCTCTTTATAAGTTATGAACTTCTCGATGGATGTACTGTTGGTTCCGATTGCAGACACTTTGCAGACCACCGATGACTGAGGTTTCGTGAAGACAATGATTTTCAACGGATGTCTTGTCGTCTGAGATCTGAAGACATAATTCATAACCGTTTCCTCACAAGTAATAAATGCGTGAATTAATACACAAAATGTCAAAATTAAGTTTAACGTTGTTTTACACATTGAGACACAATTTTATAATGTGTTTAAATGGAAAATTAATTAAAACTTTAATTCAATTTTAAAACAAAAATAATTATAAAATTACTATTAAAAATATCACTATATTTCTGTCAATTATGCAAATATTTTCACTTTAAAACTTATAGCCAAAGGGTATAAAAATTAAATATTTAAAAAATCAATACAAAACAAAACAATTTCCTAATTTTAAAGCAATAAAATAATTAATATAAGGTATAATTATGACATAAAACGAGAACATAAAATAAATTAAAGTTCAATGTTAGTGGAAAACTATTTAATAATTAACTATTTATTGTATTTATAGTCTGGGTGTAGAAGTAATGGCAAATTAATCAAAATCATGTAAAACTGCTGCCAAACTAATGAAATACATTTACATTTGCGAAATCCTATGGCTTATCAGCCGATCCTATGATTATCACAAGCCTTTATCTATTGATAAATAGAGGAAATATTAGTGTTTCACTACTTTTACAATACATACCAATAATATAAAGTGATTGATTTGCATTTAGTTTAAACACTTGTACCGTCAAAGTGTTTTATGCATCTAATTTAATTTATAAAATAAAACCTGTATTCAATTAATATTGTACTTTTTAAATCTTATTTATTAAATTATTGCATATTAAAATGCAACATTCCATGTGATATAAACATTGCCTTGGTAGATGTGTAGAGTATATCCAAAGTATGTAAACTTAGCCCTATCACCAAATACTGTACACAGTTGTGTACTTTACTGTACATGTGATGAGATAACAATTGGAGCCGTTTATACCCTCAGCCCAGACATCACTTAAAATATTCCCGGAATTGGCATAAAATATGTCAACATTTTATTGCTATGTTTGATCAAAATTACACTTACAATAAAATACATTTATTGAGTTTAGAGCTCTCTCTCTCTCTCTCTCTCTCTCTCTCTCTC